AGATAGATCCTCACGATCTGGCGGCATGTGCGCAAACGTCGAGAGGCTTCAACCAATTCATCAAAGAGAACAAGCGGCTTTACAAGACCTTGTACCTGAAGCATCTTGTATGCAATACCCTTTCCTTTCATCGCATTTCATGCAGTCTAATGTTGTGGTAGGACGATCCTCGACGCCGAAGACCGGCTGATCCTGAGCCAGAATGGGCAGGAGCGTTGCAGAGGGTGGTGAGATGTCAAAAGATCCTCGACTCTGCCAACAATGACCTCAAGGTATGTTCTAAGTTTGGATCTAAAGGCAACGTTGCTAAGCGGTAGCAGAGAGAAGAGTTCACATTTGTCGCAACGTGCGTCGACGAGCTTATCGCCACGATGTCACTTGATGATTATGGCGTGACTCACAACAAACAATTAGTGACCAACCAGTTCCAGCGTATCGCACAGAATCACGATGCGTTCATGTGCCGCTCCTCTCTTTTCGACCGTGCTGGTACAGGAAAGCAGAGGCCAGCTGGGGATGAAGAGAGTCGACAACTCAGCGCAAAACTGCACAGTCTATTCGGCTTCCCGCCATCCAACGCTGGAAGAAGAGATCTCTCAACAAACCCGTATGCCAGATCGCGTGTATACGACCTACGAAACTACACCGATAACAACGAGTGGGGACCTTTCCGTGATGATGGCACCATGCGAGTGGATTGGGAGATGATCGAAAGCATCATGATTGTTATCGGCTATAACTCTTGCTACTGCACCCATACAGTATCGAATAAACTCCGGCCACCATGGTTCGCTCCACTTGATGGCGTGATCCCGGAAGACGCTCATCAGATGGGCGCCGCACGGAACTATACAGCGTTGGTACAGCAGCCGGACATTTCCCTCAACATGAAGGATCCATACGGAGTGGAAGGTATCTGGTCACGTGTAGGTCCTTGTTAGCCCGTTCTCTCAAACTCTCTCTAACGACATCTAGATTGTATGTTTCCTCGACTACAACGATCTGTACCACTACAACTTCAGTACCGAGGCCATGAAAGTTCCTTCCGACGAGCCTAGAGATGCGTTGAACACCGACGAAGCCATCAGACACATCATCATGGATTTGCGCATCACAGACGTCACAGCACCAGGGCCTTTCGACAACTCGAAACTACCCATTGTGCATTTCAGAGGAAAATCGAAGTCTGTAGATGCGCATTGGGATCCAAATGCCAACTCTGGTATCCGCGGTACTGTCAGTCTGACAGCGGAAGGAGAGGTTCGCTGGCAGACTATCTCGGTATTCCAAGGGTAAGTACGGAGAGTTGTGGGCATACAATGAGCAGAGTATTACTGACTTTGCGACAGCGGTGAGGAGCGATGGCGCAGCGATGGCATACAAGTTGGTGGGTTGCGCTGCCCACGCGGTGTTGTGGGAACGTGGTTTGACAAGGATTTCGATGCGTAAGTGATGGCTAAGTGCGGACTGACGTGAGACACGCGCTAACTTCATGTACACATTAGTCATGGCCCTGCCGGACCAACAGCGTTCTGGAAAGTCAGCGAGAGGCCTGTAGATTCTGCAGATGAGGACAGCGATTCTGAAGATAGCTTTTGGGATATGTCATGAAGTACTAGTTGAACGGAAGTACAAAGGACCAGATGATAGCTTTCACATCTCAATATATCTCCATCTCAGCGTCGTCGCCGGCAGACCTTCCACCTGTACTTCTTTCGTCTCCCCGGGTACTAGGTCAAACCCGTTGTCACTCAGACGACGTTCAGTGTCTTCCTCGAACACAAAGCCCTTGACTGGCTTCGCTGAAGAAACGAACACTGTGTTCTTGTCTTCCGAGTAGCGCACGTGTACGCCTGGATTCTCAAAAGTGAGATACTTGATGGGCTCTGGCCAGGATACGTCGCTAGCGAGGAGGTGACCATCTTTGTATAACGACGCATGAATGACGAAAGGGTCAGCTGTACGGAAAGGTCCATCCGGCTCTTGTGGGTCATCGACCTTGACGACATGGTCAGTGAGTATCTCGATTGTTCCGTTCGCCGCAATGCGTATCTTCTTGTGCTCTTCAGTGCTGATGTCCTTTCCTGTGCCGATTGAGATGTAGTGGATCGATACATCGACTTCTATCTCTTCCAGTGTACTGTTAGAGACCCAGAGGTCGTATTCAACGTCCTGCCACAGCTTTTGCATATCGATGTGTCCAGTATCACGCTGCCACAGTGAATCAGCGGGTCGCACAGTCCAACTTTTGCACTTGCGTTGAACACCGATAGTGATGGGTTGCATGGCGCGCTTGATAGCATAGTACGCTGGCTTTGGCACCTTGTAGTAATCTACCACAGCCCATGACATCGTCGGCCAACAGTCGTTCAGCTGCCACACCAATGCACCACCGCATTTGCGATCGCCAGCTGACCCCCATTGGCGGCGCCAGGACTTGTAAGCCCACGACATCGCATCCGCTTGCATCACCTGGGTAAGATGCGTATAGCCTTTCAGCAGGTACTGCACCCGGAAGTTCTCAGACACGTAGCTGATAAGACGTCGCTCATGACCGATGGCTTTGTTACGGAAGTCCATGGCCATCGAGCCAGGATGGAGGTCGTGCTGATCGTTGATGCACATCTCAAGTGTGGAGACATGAGGATATGCTTCCATTCCGAATTCGGATACGAAACGACCGCCCATCTGTGGCAGGCGTTGGTAAGGCTCCATGGTACCGTGCCACATGTTCCACTGGTGGACATCGCCGATTGTAGGATCTACTCCCAGGACCGTCGACTTGCCATCACCAAAGGGTGAGCTGGGGTGATAGGGTATGTTTGGACATTCCTCTTCAACAACCTTTGGCAGAAGATGCTCGTAGGTGTAGCGGGCTGGGAAGTCGGTCTTGAGCCAGGATTCCAGATCTTTGTCGTCAGGATTGTACTGTAGTTTGTATCGTTCGACGATCTGGTAGTCCTCGTTGTTCCCTGCCCACACCACTAGGCTGGGGTGGTTTCTCAGTCGTCTAACATTCTGTCTTGCTTCGATCTCCACACTTTTCAAGTACTCGGGGTAGGTTGGGTAGTTGGCACATGCGAACATGAAGTCTTGCCATATCAACACGCCAAATTCATCCGCGGCATCGTATAGCGCATCCGCTTCGTAGATACCGCCTCCCCAAATCCTTAGCATAGTTTGATTGCCGTCGGCTGCGAGTTTCACCCACTCGCGGTAGTCGTTGGGTTTGAGCCGTGTGAGGAAGGAGTCAGCGGGTATCCAACACGCGCCTCCGCAAAAGATGTCGACATCGTTGATACGGAAGTAGAAAGAAGTGCCATGTGCATCAGGCTCTTTGATCAACTCAGTGCGGCGGAAGCCAAACTGCTTGGATATGAGATGGATGGGATTCGGAACACCCTGCACAATGGCTTCTGCTCTAATAGTGTAAAGACTTTGTTGCCCATAGCCTCGCGGCCACCAGAGCTCGATATCATCCATGGTAATAGTACTTTCCAAGGGACTCTTGCGATTATTGATGGTGGTCCGGATTCCGTCAATGTCTTCTCCGTCCTTTGAGACCATGAATAATATACCCGTAGTCTTGCCCTCCCACTCAACACTCATCTTCAGTTTCGCGGACTTGAGGTCCTGTGACAGTTCGTACTGCACATTGAGGGCGGACAGGCGGCATTCCCACGTCTCAATCGATACTGGCTTCCAAGGCCCACATGTCATAAGGATAGGGCCCCAATCCCATCCCCAATGGTATTGCGTTTTGCGCACCGGCCCCCGCGAGATCTCTGTCTGGTGTACGATGAAGCGATGTTCTGGATGCTGTCCCACCAACTCCAGACCCTTCTTGCGCGCTGACTCAAAGACGATTTCGAGCACGTTGTCCTCAGCCTGAAGCTTGCCCGATACATCGATTTGGTGCTCGATGAACATGTTGTCGGACTCCAGAATCATCTCGTCATTAAGGAAAACGGAAGCTAAAGTGTCGAGACCTTCGAATCGAAGGGTGGTAGCTGCGTTCGCCTTTCCATAATCGGAAGGCGCAGCAAAGGTCGTGCGATATGTCCATGTCTCATCGCCAACCCAACGCACTGCTAGCTCATTGAGGTCATGAAAAGGGTCAGGGATCTTGTCGTGTTTGAGTAAGTCGCGATAGACTTCAGTTGGTGCATCGCAGGCCGGTAGGTCTTCGTTGGCGGAGGAGCGGTCGCCCTGCTTGAACGTCCAATCTGTGATTAGCGGCGATGAGGTGTGCGGAACAGGCGTCATGTTGTCCATTAGTTGTAGACTAACGATGAGCTCGACCGATGTGACAGCTAAATGATGGACGTTCGGTGGTTGTTCACCCGCGGGTAAACACATGCGGGGTACCTGCCCCTCAAGAAGCTTGGGTGAAACGCTGATCAACGACTACGGAGCTTCCTTCGTTCAACACAAGCGTAGACACGGCCATACTTACGGATGTACATCAGAGGCCGATTTATCCCGCCGCGACTATGCGCCTGCGTCACATCCTCTCGTATCGACCTCTTCCACAGACTCGCAGCGTTAGGTGGAAAGTACAGAGTTGGGTAAAAAGTACGAAGATAGGTATAAAGTACAGGGTTGGGTAAGAACGACAGAGATAGGTAAGAAGTAAAGGGTTGAGTAAAAACGACAGAGTTGGGTAAGAAGGATAGAGTTGGGTAAAAACGGCAGACTTGGGTAAAAACTACAGAGCTGGGTAAAAAGTGTAGCTAATCCCTAGGTAAAAAGCACACTTTATACCTAGGAAGAAAGCATGGTATATACCGAAGTAAAAAGCACACCTTGATAGTTTATACCTAGGTAAAAAGCGCAGTTTATACCCAGGTAAAAAGCGTAGTTTATACCCAGGTACGAAGCATAGTTTATACCCAAGTAGATGTCATAGTTTATACCCAAGTAAAAAGCCTGTAGATTATAGCTAGGTAAAAGTCGTATGAACTGTACCAAAGCAAGGAGTATTTACCCAAGGGGAAACTCTAAGCGCTGTTCAGGATCTCGAAGCCGACAAGATCCGGCCCAAAACTGTCTCCGTACCCTCGGAACTCGATCATGTTCTCTGTACCCTCCACAAAGCCATCAAGCTCTATCTGCAGTCGTAGACTCTCCTCCCAATCGCCACCAGAGAGAGGGAAGGCCCATCGCTTCGCCTCAGCACCATTGACTGCGATGGTCATGTTACGTGTGTTGTCGCCCCATTCCCATGCAGTGGTAAATGCATAGTGGTAGTTGACGAAGTCGATGCCCATGAGGTTCTTGCCAGTGGACTGCGAGCTGACGTTGGCGAACATGACGCTGCTGGCGCGGCCGATGTACTCAATCTTCGAGCCAGCGGGAAGGCATGCGCCGGACGCGCAGGAGAAGTTGTGTGCTGGTCCGGAAAGCGACGCATTAGCAGCGGAATGGTACGAGTCGGAGGTGAGAGGGGCGGCTGCGACGATGTTGGATAGAACCCATAGTCGCAGCTCATGTCCGGCCAAGTCAGCCGTCTGGGCACCAGACAAGGTACCAAGATCCTTCGCAGCCCAGACATCGCGCACATCAGCCGAAGCTATGCCCAGTGTTGCCAGATCAAAGTCTACGGCTTGGGAGTCGTTCTTCCAATTCGCGACTCCCAACACCTGCTTAGATCCCGAGAGTTTTCCCATCCAGATATCCCATTCGTTCTCAGTATCGCGACGGACCAACATGGCTTGCTGAGCAAGTGGGTCTTGATTGATGGCAATGACTTCCTTGTTCGAGAGAATGTCTAGAGAGCTCTGACTAATGCGTTCGGGATCGAGGGCGGCGCCGATAATGAGAGGAGACTTGTTGATAGCCCACATGCCAAAGTGGAAGCGCTCTTCCTCTTCAGAAAGGGCATTGAGGCCCACGCTAGACTTGTCAGTTGACGACTCCAGATACAGATCACTCTACTTACGTCAGCATGTCCATGTCTGCAAATGCACCAGCAGTGGTATGCCTGAAGTATGGGACGACCCGATTGGTGATCCGCCAGATGCTGCGCCAGCCATTGTAGATGTCGTTGCTGATTCGCCAGGTGTTGCCAACCTCAGCAGCCCAGTCACCGACGTCAGTGCCAATTCCCCACTGGCAGACGTAGTAGTGTATGTCGCGGTCTGCCGCATCTAATTCGGCCGCCATGTGTTGGAAACGTGCTGGTGATTGAGCTTCTGCGGAGCTGGAGTCGACCATCGTTGTGTTGGAAGTAGAGTAGCAGTTGTCGTACCTGCGTACCGTTAGCAAGGTCGAAAGCGTATTGAGGAGGCTTGTGATCATACTTGAGGCTATCTCCTCCCCACTGAGCGAAACTCTCCGCATCTAGTTGTTCGTACCCCAGACTCGCAGGTAGCGATTCTGACCCGCACTGTAGATACCCAGCGCCTGAGTAAAGACCAAAGTCCAGACCCAGGTCATGGAGATAATCTCCGAGTGCCTTGCCACCAGATGGAAAGAGGGTCTCGTTCCATTGAAGTCTCCCCTCTTCGTCTCGATCATGGGCGTTCCAGCCGCAGTCAACTGTCACGAAATTGTAGCCAGCGTTGGTCAGACCAAGGTCGATGAGGCCGTGGGCACTCTCGTGGATCTTCTCTTCAGAGGGCAAGCAGTTCCAGGTGTTGTACGAGTTCCATCCCATAGGAGGTGTGGGTGATCTGACTGTTTTGGCTGCTGCTTGTAGGGCAAGGCATGCCGAGAGCAAGATCGTGGTAGCCATGGTGATGTGAAGATGCTGAATATCGCAAGTCTGCGCTCTTATTTTCAATCGCTCATCACGAGCTCATAATATCCGGTGGTCGCTATGCTGCATACTGGATGACCTCACAGCAGGCAGCGTTTCCTGGCTACGGGCGCGGGCGACGGAGGAATTGGTCGCGATGCATCATGTTGCACGTCTTGGCCTGCACCGTTTGACATAGCGCACCAGCTCAAGGGAGTGATCGACAGCTGTACGAGATGCGCGTACAGGGATGGGATGTCTGTATTCTGGGGTTGGGTGAGGAGAAGGTGGAGGTTTGCCGGCGGACGCGTGACGAGCGATGGCCGCGAGCCGGAAGGCGCCAGTCGGAAGCCTTACCCCGCCAGACTTCGCGCGACCAGCCTCGCCCAAGCACCAGCTCGGCGCCATGTCCGGAGAGATTACTGCCTCACCCCCAACGCGACTCGGCGATGCGGAACTGGGTAAAGATGCTGAAGAATCCAGGTGCGACGACGCGCCTGCACCAAGCCCGCTCGAATACACATCCTTCACGCAGTCGCAGCGGCGGCGACTACGGCCGCTTCTTGGGTTGGCAGCTATCACGTCACCCTTGACCGCGACCATCTACTTGCCCCTTCTTCCTCTGCTGCGCACACAGTTCAGTACTACAGCGCAGGCTATCAATCTTACAATAACCCTCTACATCATCTTCCAGGCTATTTCGCCAGTCATATTCGGACCACTGTCTGATGTTCATGGCCGGCGACCCTACTTCCTGGCCACTCTGGCCCTGTACGTCATCGGCGACTTGGGACTAGCTCTCAACAAGCGCAACTATGCCGTCCTCTTAATTCTGCGTGCGATACAGAGTCTTGGAGCAAGCGCAGCGTATGCCATCAGCTTCGGTGTCGTTGCAGATGTCTGTGTACCGAGCGAACGAGGACAGATGCTAGGCCCAATCAGCATGGCTATGAATCTGGGCACTTGTGTAGGTCCAGTCGTAGGAGGCGTAGTGGCACACACGAGTGGAAACATCAACTGGGTATTCTGGGCCCTATTTATTGTCGGCGGAGTCTTGCTCGTCGGTGTGGGCGCGCTCCTCCCCGAGACGGCTCGCAACACGGTCGGCGGTGGCAGTGACAAGTCTGGATACAAGTGGTGGCAGTACAGCTGGGTAGGCCTTTTACGAGAACGGATGAAGGTAAAAGCAGCAAAGAGACTGAATGAAAGAGGTTCGACTCCAGTGTCATCAGCGGCAGCTCCATGCCAGACGACTAAGCGGAAGTACGGACTGTCTAACTTGCTCGCCTGCTTTCGCATCATCTTCTATAGGGACACCTTCCTCACTTTATGGGTTCACGGATCGTTCTACACAGTGGACTACTCCTTCGTTGCAGCGGGCCCAGACATCTACAAAGACATTTACCATTGGAATGAGCTTTACATTGGCCTGTCGTATCTGCCGCGTGGCATTGGCACCATCGCCGGGGCCTATTTCACCGGAAAGATGATGGATTACAATTACCGTGCCGTTGCTCGCAGCATCGACTGGACCATCGATAAGGTATCTGGTGATGACCTTATGAAGTTTCCAATCGAGCGTGCGAGGACAAGATACTGCTACGCCATGCTAATGATATCAACAGCGACCATGATCGGCTATGGATGGACTGTCCAATATCACGCCCACCCGGCTGTACCATTGATCTTACAATTTTTGCAAGGCTTCTGGGGTTGCTACGGCTACACGACATTCAGCACCTTGCTAGTGGATTCTTTCCCTCAAAGTCCAAGCACCGCCGCAGCTGCTACGAGCATTACACGCTGCGCCATGGCTGCGACGGGAGTTGCGGTCTTACAACCATTGCTGAACGCAGCTGGTAGAGGATGGTACTTTACGGCTCTAGGCCTATGGAGTGGCATGATTTCGGCATTGTGCGTCGCTTTGCTACGATGGAAGGGCATGCATTGGAGACAAATACGCAACGGTCGCGTACATCAGAACAACTTCCTGGTCTCTGGGCCACTCACATCGATGGAGACCAAGGCTGGAAACTGAAGCGTCACTAATAAGCTTCCGGATAATTTTGTATGAGAGCAGCTTTTAATACAATTTCTCTATGCTAGCTTCCAAACCACTCACACCAAGCAGCTCGCCCTACACAGTATGATCCCGCTCAGATGATAGAGAAGCCATCTCAGCCTCTTGTAGTGTCGGAGGTCTCTCGCCTTCTGGAAAAGGCGCGTATCTGTCGATGAGAAAGACCATATCGTTGTAGGCGCTTTTCGGATGTTAGCTATGCCTTATCGCTTCCTGCTCGACTCACACTTGGCGAATGGCTTTACCCTGGGCAATGTGGTTGACGGAGTAGATCACATTCCAGTAGATACTGTAGAGTCGATTCCGATCATCCCACTCCTCCTTCGGTTCGCTAGGCTCTTGGTACTTCAGATAGGTTTCTAAGTATACCTTGTTGCTGATTTTGTTGTAGTAAGGTCTCCAATCCGCCACTTCTAGCTCGCTGTGGGCGTAGAACGCAGCAGAGTCGAACAAATACACGTTACCACCGTCAATTGCTGTACCGATGTTGCCTTCCCAGAGATCACCGTGAATCAAGCTTGGCTTGATCTTACGACCTTCCGTTGTTAGGACTCCAAGCAGTCTCGGAATCACAAAGTGAATGAGCCGCTTCTCGGTCTTGTCGAGCTCATCCCAAGCTCCGTTCAACTCGAAGTCGACATCGATGACATGTTGCAGGAGTTTGATGAAAAACGTCGTCCAGTCCTTCTCCCAGGCTACACATTGCGTCGCACGACCCTGACATGTCGTTACGTGGAATCCGTATTGACCAGTAGGTGAGGTGCTTTCGCGATGGAGACGGGCCAACTTCTCGCACAGCTGATCGGGATCAGGCATTTGGTCGCTCATGTCGATGTACTGTGAAAGGAAGAAGTACGCCTCCGGTTCGTCATCTCGGTATCGTCCCCACGAGTGCGGCTTAGGCACGAGATACGACGCCCACTTGTACAGCTCAGACATCGCGTTGAACTCGCCTTCCATCAAGGTGCGACCATGAGCCTCTGAAGCCGACTTCAGGAAGTAGCGTTCTTCGGTACCGTCGGGCAATAGAAGATGTAGCCGTGCGGTGACAGTCCAGGATGATACTCCAAAGCGGTGCGCAGAGATGACCTTGGTCCCCTGTGGAAACTTTGCGAGAACGTTATCGTCGACTTTGAAGTCTCCATCGTTGACTTGGCTGTCCATGGTAGACTTGTCCATGGGCACTCGGAGTGGGGTGGCTGTTTGCATCATGATTTGATATTGCGAATGCCCTGAGACGTCGATTTTGGATCGCGATATAAGATAGTCGTTCGAGAGGATGGTGTTGCAACATCAGCGAGATCTTGCAGGGTTCTGCGTCACGATAGCTACGCCACCAAATCATGTGACTGTATGCAGTCAAGAGGCACATACCGCACGCGCCGTTTGTCAAGCATGACTCTGCATGAGCGGCGCAGTAGACGATCTGTGCCTCTGCGCAGTTTCTGCCCAGGTACAAACGTTTTCACCTAAGTAAAAACAACTTTTTACCTAGGTATAAACCTTTTTACTTAGGTATAAACCTATTTACTTAGGTATAAACCTATTTACTTAGGTATAAACCTTTTTACTTAGGTGTTAACCTTTCTGCTTAGGTATAATCCTTTTTACCTAAGTATAAACTATATCTTAGGCAAGAACTACTTTTTACCTTGGTATAAACCTTTATGCTTAGGTGTAAACTACACTACTTTCTACCTAGGTGCAAACAACTTTCTGCTTGGGTAAAAACTCTACATTCGTTTCTCTCGGCAACCATTCAAGACTCGAACAACGCCTTTGCTGCGTTAGCAGTTATTGCACGCTTTCGATTGTTAACAGATCTTGAGCAAAGAAAAGTCTATGGCGGTCAAAGAAAACCAAGATCATCACACACAGAAGGAAGCGGCAATACGCGAGGCTGCAAAGATGTTTGACATTCATCTAACACAATAGCGGTGTCACTCTCATCACCTACGAAGAGGCCGGCGGCTGAGGCCACTTGTCCAGCACGGTTTCTTCACCCGTTATCGTGAGCTTCAGCTCCGCCTGCGTGGGCTCGTCAAGAAGCAGTGTGTACTCCCCTGGATACACGACCGTGTTGCCCATCTGATCGACCCGCGCCAGCGTCCCAAGCGTGAGAGGGAGTGATGCCATCTTCGTCTGACCACCAGTAATGTCCCTCAATCGCGCGTATGAGACCAGTGTCTTGAGCGGGTATGGCTTTGGTCCGGCCTCGCCCTTGATGAAAGCTAGGGCGACGAAATCGGAAGTCACATTACCCTTATTGGTCACGCCAATCTCCAGTGGCGCAACGTCGCACAGATCAGGATACATCTGCGAACAATCGCTCATGATATCCTGGATGTTGTAGGTGAGCCCTTCGCTGCTGGTGAAATTCGCAGCAAAGGTGGTGTAGTGCAAGCCAAACCCGAAGGGCTGTACCGATTGGTTGTACCAGCGGTAGGTGCGACCTGGACTGATGGCACCAGGACGAAGGTTCATGTTCAGCATCGAGAGATTGGTGTAGCTTGCGGGGTATTGCGTGATTGGCAGACGACCAGCGACGGCATGCGCGCCAGTGATGACATCCATGACGGCCAATCCACCATCTTGACCGGGCCAATTAGCCCAGATGACGGAGTTGACGCCTTCCATCGACAGTAGGGGAGAATTGTCGACCATGTCGCCCAAAACAACGACCACAAGCGGTTTTCCAAGCTGAGCAAGCTTGATGATGAGTTCGACTTGCGCACTAGGCCAGCTAATGTCGGTACGGTCGAAGCCTTCTGCCGCTGCGGAAGTGTCCAGACCACCGAAGTAGATGATGTAGTCAGATCCTTCTGCCGCATTGAGCGCATTCGTTGTCCAGTTATCGCGGGCACTAGAGTTCTGCAGAACAGGACCAGTGGCAATAGACATATTCAAGCCGAGCTGT